TATATATATATATATATATATATATATATGAGTGTGTGTGTGTGAGTGAATGATTAATGCAATAAATGTAACCATATCATGAGCACTTGTAGTGAAGCTAAACTAACATAGAAAAAGAAATAACGCACAAAAAATAAAATAAATAAATAGAAATGCCCTGAACCAATTTCAAATTAAATGAAGATTCTCGGAGCCACAACTCTTGTCCTCTTCGATTAAATGGAAAACGCTCATATACCCTACAGACGATATATTTCCGTAACGTACACAATCTCTGTCCAACTCATTTGACAACACACCTCGTTTTCATTATCAATTTTTTTGTCGAATATTAGCCCCACTATACATATATATACAGTCTTAATTCAGCAATATATGTATACATACATATATGTATATATATATATGAACCCTTGTGTGTGAATGTGAGTGCACAGTGTCAGATGTTTGTGTGATTATAGTGGAAAATGTATGAAAAATGGGGGGATGATTAGAGGGGAAATATATTAAATAAAATGCGGAATTAATCAGGAGTTAAATGAAGTGGGGGCAGCAATACCTTGAAAAGAGAGTGCCGCAGTCACATCTGTACTCTCTGGTGCCACAAGTCTTGAAATGGGCTTTGCAATCTGACTGAACCGCATACCTCTTCGAACACTTATCGCATTTCCACTTCTTCTCGCCATGTTTTCTGCAGAAATGCTTCTTGATCCCTGTCAAGTCCCCCAATGCTCTCGACGGTTCGTGGTGGACGCAGCTCGCCTCCGGACAGACATACACCTTCTTCCTCACGGCTTCTGTCTTGGACCTTTGTTTCAGCTTCCATGGTAGGTTGTGCCCTCTCCTGTGCAGTTGCAGGTTCTGGTCTCTTTGGAACCCTTTGTTGCAGATATCGCATATGAACCTGTTTGTCGCCATGAGTGTTTTCGGGGACAAAGCTATCACTTCTGCTTCTGGGTCTGGCGTTTTCCCAGGAAAATTTGAAACATACCCATGTCAGAAAACTCAGTATCTTACATGAATCACTGATAAAGTTGGGATTTTTCATCTGGGTTTTGCTTGTTTTTGTAAGAGCAAAACCATCAAAGGAGCCAGAAAAAAGGGGGAAAAGAATATTCCTTTTTTAATTAATCAGCCTCTAGTATTCGAGACCCGTGACCGTGATTGCAAAGAACGATACTTTCAAAGAAGACTACAGTATCAAATAATTGAGACAAGTCGGTGCAAAACCACATCCAAAAAAAAAAAAAGAAAGATAAGATTTTTGTTTTCGAAACGAACCTGGATTGCCTGGCTGGTTTCTCTTCTTCTTCGGGGGCTGAGATGATTGAGCTTGCAGTTGTGGAACAAAACACTGTTGTTGTTGTTGTTGTTGATTAACAAAGTTTGATCCATTTGCTTCAGTTCTGTTGCCCGAAGACACACTTGCTTGATGATCCCCAGATGCAGATGTAAGATTCGACATATTCTCCTCCGCAATCACTTGCTGCTGCTGTCGATGATGCTGATGAAATGGCATGTCTTCGTTCATCATCTCATCCATCCCCTCTGTCTACTCACACAACCTTGAAAGAAAACTGATACAAGTGGACAAAATAACTTTCTCAGATCTATTCTATATACGCAGATACAGACATGTATCGTTTGTGTATCAAAGCAAAGGGAACATACATATACACATATATGTCTATTATTGGATTGTATATATTACTTCCTTTCCTTGGCTTCAACCCAAGAGACAATCTTTGATTAGGAAGCGAATGAAAAACAAAAAACCTTGAAAAAAAGACTTCTTTGTTGTGTCTGATCAGAGCTATAGAGAGATAAAGTTTCAGATGAAAATCAATACCAGATTCTCCATAGAAACAATAAAATCTCTTTGTTGTTTTTGAACAAAAAGAAGAAGAAAACCCCCACCAAGAAACTCCAACAAGAACTATACAACGCATATGGACAAGCAAAATACCTCGAAGACGAGAGAGAGAGAGAGAGAGAGAGAGAGAGTCCATTATCTTCTTCTATGTTAATAAGAACCCTACCGCTAAGGTTCAAACGTTGGCGTTTTCTGTCTTTTCCCTTTGCTGTGTCTTTTTCTAACTCTTTGCTTATTTTTTTGTTCTTGCACAGGAACCCAGAAAAATCTGTCCTTTTATTACCTGCAGTTTTTTTTTTCTTGTATTTTTCCCGAATTTAAAATTAAAATTCAGTTTTTACAAAACAGGTTGTATTTTTTTTTTTTATCGTTTTTTGTTTTGTTCTTGTCGTCAAGTGTTATTTACTTTTACCCTTTTGTTTTACAAATGAAGGTGGCGAAAATATAAAAATACAATTTCTCAAGCTTCTAAACAACATATCATTCGTGCGTTTCGAGAGCGAGAGAAGATGCCATTGTTTTATATTTAATATCACTATACGAGAAATGAAGGAAAATAAATTGGTGAAAAAAACTTTTGAAATCTAAATCCATGTAAAATCTATAATTTAACAAAAAAAATCTTAAAAGATATTTGGAATAACAAAAATTCATTCAGATATGTCTTTATTATTATTATTATTATTCTTATTATTATTCTTATATGTACACACTCATGGATGTGTGTGTGTGTGTGAATCTTAGAGCTTTACACTTACAGTACAAAGACATGATTGAGCCATTGATTAAGACATCATATTTCACTGCCACATGCCCTAACCTACTTTATGATACCTATGGATAAAAATAAAATAAAAACATAAAGACGTATAAACGCGTGTATACACACACACACACACATATGTATATGTGTATGCGTATATATGTGTGTATGATAGTGAAGGGGAATGCATGATTTCAACGTTGCGAAGAGTGAATGACCGTCACGCCAATAGAATCCATGCAAATATATGATTAGACATGAGATGATTATATATATATATATATATATATATATATTGCTAAGTGAAAGTAACGGTAGTATTGGTATTAAGAACAAATGTAATTAAATTGTGCATATATATATATATATATGAATGACGTTATTGAATAATGGCCACTTGTAATGCGATGTAAAAATAAAAATAAAAATGTTGGATCTGTAATGTAAGTCGCGTTGTAAATTAATTTGTCAGCCTTAATAATGGTCCGACGGAATATATATCCCGGTTTATTAATATAATTCTGTAAACTAAAACAATAATATGATTTTTGAAATAGAAAAATATAAAATAGATTTTGTCTTGTTCTTGTTTTATTCCTCAATTATTGTAGCTTTTCTCAACGTGATTTTGTCCGATCCTTTTCCCAATATGCAACACCACCTCATGTACACACTGTCATGTGAATTTTAAAAGTGAAAAACACTAAATTAAAAGCCATTCCGAATATTTATCGTTATATTTTTTATCAATAAATGTGAAATTAAAAACTGTAATAGATGCAAGAAACATATGAATAAAATATGTGAAAGCGTGGATTGTTGTACAAATTTAGGTTTAAAAGTGTAGTATTTTACTAAATCTCATATAAAGACGAGACGACCACGGGCGTCCTCATGTGTAATAATATTTTTAATTCCATTTGAGAAATGAATAAATTATAATATATATATATATATATATATATATCATGGCGTATACTAAATCTATTCAAACTAAATGATAAGCTTAGATGAGGCGTTGTATTCAAACTAAATGTCAGGAAATTATTAGATTTAAAAAAAGATTACATGTCCCTGTCGCCATGTCAGCTACACATAGTTGAAATAAAAAATAGAATAATTACTACTTTATAATAATAATAATAATAATACAAAAAAACTTTGAACCTTTTTCTACGTAATAATTAAATTATATGCACATCCATGTTTATGGTCGCTAATAAAACCTTATATCTCTGTATTTAGATGATAAAAAACATTTATTCATCCTCGTGCTAAATTCTTCCAATTTTTTTTTTGGGGGTTAAAAATCTTCCAAATTGATTGTTCGATAAAAAAATGTGTGAGCTTTGATCACAATGTAAACATAAAATGGATCTTATATTAATAATGAACTCTATTATAAGTTATAACATTTTTTTTTTTGAAAAGGTATTATAAATTATAACATTCCATCCAATAACTTAAAAAATGAATCTGATTGGTTAATTCCTCGTAGTTTGGACGTTTTTTTTTTGTAAGTAATTACCAAAAAATAAAAGAGGAAATAAATACGAAACATGCTATCGTAAATCTGTAATAATAAAACAATAATAATAAAAAATCGAATTATACGTGAAAATAGTTGCAGGAGTTGGAGTTCACGAGCGGAGTATAATCAGAAAACATTGGGTCCCACATATTTCTGATAAGGATTTGAGGCTAAAAGTGGGGCCCACATAAATAATAATATAAAATTAACCAGTATTTATATATATTAACATTGTTAAAAAAATAATTATCATCTAAACGTCGCACCTATAAAATAATTGTCTATCTTCAATCACTTGAACTTTAATAGTGATCGAGGCGAGTATTCCAATTTTTTTCATACACAAATTTTGGTTTTGTTCCATTATTAAATTTTTTATTAAATTATTCAAATTTCGAATGTCCATTTAATAAAGCAATCAAAATGAGACGAAAATGCGATCCCAAAATATGGAATTTATTAGTAGTAACTAGAAAATGATAAATTTCGAAATAAAAACTGCCATTGAAACGACGCCGTTCCTCTCTTCCGTTTTTGGGAAATGAATTTAAACTCTCACGCCTTTTGCACCGATTCGTTTCTCCGGCAACTTCCGTCGGTAAAAGCTCGACGACAGAGAGAACCACGAGGGAGAGAGAGGAAGACGACGAAGATGGGACGTAGCTGTAGAATCCATGGCACTCTCTTGATCGCTTTCCTTTTCTTCTCCACTGCTCGTTCCTTCTATCTCCCTGGTGTCGCTCCTCGCGATTTCCAGAAGGTACTCTTTTTTGTCTTTTTCCCGCTTTTGCGTCCATAATGAGAGCGATCTAGGGTTTCTGGTATCAGATTCGTTTTTGCGGTGTGTATTTTGCTTAGATCTGTGGATGCTTCTGTGTATCCTTTGTCCCGCTTCGGTCTTTAGCCACACTGCTGGGCGGAGTTGATGAGCTTTTACGTCTTATTCACCGAAAAATTGAATTGAAATAAAGAGGAACTTGAGCTTGATTTCCTCTGGGTTTGATGCATGCCTACGCAAACGAAGGCGATGCCGTGTTGTAAGTAAAAGGATCGTTTTTTAGTTGATAGTGGATGATCATTGATATTATAGGGTAGAGAGATCCATTGTGTTTCTTGTTGAAGAGCTTGATTTGTTTTTTGAGTGGTTACACTTGTTGTGTTCTTCTGTTGTTCAATATTGAGTTTTGGTGGACATTGGTAAAAACATGCAGAGGGAGGCAGGTTTTTAGCTATGTATAGTTGTGCTCACAAACTTAATCAATGCCTTGATAAAATGCATCCGAAGATTACTGAACTAGAACATTGTACTCAGCTAATGAGGATTCTTTTGAGCTCCATTTCTGGATCCGCTTATCTGCAGTTCAGACTTGTGTTTGCAGTTCCTCCTAGTACGGAAGCACCATTGTATGTAAATCTTATTTTGTGTTGATAATAACGGGAGCAGGGTGACCCTCTGTATGTCAAAGTGAACAAACTGTCATCTATAAAGACTCAACTTCCATATGACTACTACTACTTGAATTACTGTAAGCCTCCCAAGATTCTGAACAGTGCTGAAAATTTGGGGGAGGTCCTCAGAGGGGATCGCATTGAAAATTCAGTTTATACTGTAAGTACAACGTTCTCTCTGTTGTAGATACATTAGACTTTGAATATATTGAAAGGCTTCCTATAGATATTTACACCTTGATGCCCTCCATGTGAAGTTTGCTATGTGATTTTCTTTCAGTTTGAAATGTTGGAGGACCAACCATGCAAAGTAGCTTGTCGAGTAAAACTTGATGCTGAGTCTGCAAAAAATTTCAAGGAAAAGATTGATTATGAATACCGGGCCAATATGTAAGTAGTGAATGTACCATCCTTTCTTGTGTGTGTATTTGTGTTTGTCAGGTGTTTCTATTATATCCTTATCTGGGATTATTCAGTACCGTGGTGGTTTCTTCATTTTGCTTTAGAGACTCTTATCACATGGGATACTGTTCATTATCGATCAATCTTACCACAAATGGTTGTGCAGGATTCTTGATAACCTTCCAGTAGCTGTTCTTAGACAAAGAAGAGATGGAAGTCAGTCAACGACTTATGAACACGGTTTCCGTGTCGGTTTCAAAGGAAGCTATGAAGGGGTATGCCTCTTAAAGCTATGGTTTGAGTTTTACATACTTTTTTCATACCAGCTGTAAGTAGTTGTTTCGCTTTTGTAGAGCAAAGAGGAGAAATATTTTATCCATAACCACTTGAGTTTCCGAGTTATGTACCATAGAGATCAAGAGTCTGACTCTGCTCGAATTGTTGGATTTGAGGTTACCCCTAACAGGTACTGCCTAGCTATGATTACCTTGAGTACGCTGATTCTTTTCCATTGAATCATTTTAAGTCTGTCTAGTTATTGGCTGGATCTCTGTCATTAGTGAAGAGTTCTATATCTCTTTTGTTATTTGGAATATCCTATGTTTTCTGCTAATTACTAGCTAATAGTTCTTCTATTTCGGACAGTATCCTTCATGAATACAAGGAGTGGGATGAAAAGAATCCTCAATTAGCAACATGCAACGTTTAGAGCAGAAGATGTAGATGATATGGGTTGAAAGTAAATGGACGATGATGTTGTATGTATTGATTAGATTCCAGAGTGTGCTCTGAAATTATGCGTGTGTACTGTGTATACTGGTGGGTCTGTGTGTATATATGTTGCAAGATGATCGGAAAGAGGTTGTGTTTACCTATGATGTCACATTCAAGGTAACTTGTCTCTATGCACGCCTATGTTATGATATTTGTTTGCCCGTTTGTCTCATTATTTGTTCTTCAAAATGTATTCTTTGCTTTTGTATATCCAGGAAAGTGAAGTCAAATGGGCTTCTCGCTGGGACACGTACCTTCTAATGAACGATGATCAAATCCACTGGTTTTCCATCATTAATTCATTGATGATTGTCCTATTCCTCTCTGGCATGGTAGCCATGATCATGATGAGAACTCTATACAAGGATATCTCAAACTACAATCAGCTCGAAACCCAAGACGAAGCTCAGGAAGAAACAGGATGGAAACTTGTACACGGAGATGTCTTCAGGCTGCCAGTGAACTCGGGTTTGATATGTGTTTATGTCGGTACGGGAGTTCAGATATTCGGGATGACACTCGTAACGATGATATTCGCCTTGCTGGGTTTCCTCTCCCCATCCAACAGAGGAGGGCTTATGACTGCAATGGTTCTCCTGTGGGTTTTCATGGGCATATTCGCCGGTTACTCCTCATCCCGTCTTCACAAAATGTTCAAAGGTACTGAGTGGAAGAGAATCACCTTGAAGACAGCTTTCATGTTTCCGGGTATCCTTTTTGCAATCTTCTTCTTCCTGAACGCTCTCATATGGGGAGAACAGTCATCAGGAGCCATACCCTTTGGTACAATGTTTGCTCTGGTCTGCCTCTGGTTTGGGATCTCAGTCCCGCTAGTCTTTGTCGGAAGCTACCTCGGTTACAAGAAGCCGGGAATAGAAGACCCGGTGAAGACAAACAAGATCCCGAGGCAAGTACCTGAACAGCCGTGGTACATGAAACCCGTATTCTCGATTCTGATAGGAGGCATCCTTCCGTTTGGGGCAGTCTTCATCGAGCTATTCTTCATCCTCACCTCCATATGGCTGAACCAATTCTACTACATCTTCGGGTTCCTATTCATCGTCTTTGTAATATTGATCATAACTTGCGCGGAGATCACGATCGTGCTCTGCTACTTCCAGCTCTGCAGCGAAGATTACAACTGGTGGTGGAGATCATACCTTACGGCCGGCTCCTCCGCCTTCTACCTCCTCCTCTACTCGGTTTTCTACTTCTTCACGAAGCTGGGGATCACGAAATTCGTATCGGGTATCCTCTATTTCGGGTACATGATCATTATCTCCTACGCTTTCTTCGTTCTTACGGGGACGATCGGGTTTTACGCTTGTTTCTGGTTCGTGAGGAAGATCTACTCTTCTGTGAAGCTCGACTGATCATTTTTTTTTTCCAGAAAGATGGGAGCTTTGGGTAGTTGTAATGAGTGGAAAAGGTTGAAGCTTGTACTTACCCTTTTTTTTTTCTGGGTTCCTTTCAAAACTTGCAAGTCATTGTGGAATTAGCAATGCTTTCTGATCAAATTTTTTTTATTGGCCTTCCCCTGGCCAGTTGCTGTAGGATTGCCATGCAAATATGGTATTATCAAATCTATTATCTGAGGTGGGATTCCGTTATTCAAATTTCTTTCGATTTTATATTATAAACAAGTCATCACAAAATACAGTTGTTGGCCAGATGCTGCATATACAGTACTTGATAAAGATTTTTATTTTTAGTTATTGGGTTGGAAGAAAGGCCTCTCCCCGGTTTCAAGAGCGTAGGAGAAAACAAAACCGGGTCGGTACTACATTCCCCCCTTTGCGTGCCCGGACAGAAAACTAGCGACGAAGAAGAAGTGAGCGAGCGCCAAGCAGGAATCGGTGATCGAACGAGGAATCGCCATGAGCGAAGAAGGTCCTAAGCTCTCCCCCAATAAACCCAAGAAGGGTAACGCCAATGAAACCCTAACGATTGTTTCATCTTCTGTGATTATTTCTTACATGTTTGAATAATCATCAGTCAAAGATGTCGCTTTCCCAGCTCACCCGTTGATTCTTTTTTGCTTGGGTTGTTTATCCTTTTAAATTGGGCCTTTTTCCCCCAATCTCGTTTTCATCGTGATCGGATTCTGGGTCCGCCATTACAGCCCAGCTGAAGCAAGCGCAAGCCAAGGCGAAGGATTTCACCACTCCTCCATCTTCATCTATGTCATCGACCGCGGCTGCGGCTTCGTATTCGATGAGATCCCAGGGCGGTTCTGTTCCTCCTCCACCGCCTCCAAAGGAACCCTTCGCTCGACGGTACAAGTTCCTCTGGCCGCTTCTCTTGACGGTCAATCTCGCCATCGGAGGTAAACAACCCAACCCATCTCCGATTTCGGATCTTGGAATCGTAGAGTCTGATTGTTTCTGATTTTGTTTAGAGCAGAAGATGTAGATGATATGGGTTGAAAGTAAATGGACGATGATGTTGTATGTATTGATTAGATTCCAGAGTGTGCTCTGAAATTATGCGTGTGTACTGTGTATACTGGTGGGTCTGTGTGTATATATGTTGCAAGATGATCATCTTAGATGTGAGGCATTACATCTAAGACGATCGGAATCCGTCGCTGCTGGTTAAACAACAAAGGAGATATAGAACTCTTCACCAATGACAGAAATCCATCCAATAACTAGACAGGCTCTAGGACGATTCTATACTGAAATTGAACCTTCAGATTGTTGTTTAACCAGCTACACTGACGGATTCCGATCGTCTTAGATGCGAGGCATTACCTTAAGTTGCTTGTAAAATCCAGTTTACTATCATCTAGTCAATCATATAATCGTGCGCTAGATTTTGCTTCAATTTGCTTTTAAGTTGGCTGTATCCTCTTCTTCAAGCATTTGATTAGGTCTAGAGTTAATATCTAAGATCTATCCGTTGTTTGTGCATACCCCAGTTGCACCACATGACACAACTCATACATTGCCTGAGAAATTTCTCTTCTTTTGCTTCATTTCGTGGGGAAAGGTTAGAGCTTCAAACTTTATAACACACTTTCGAAATGAGAATGCTTATGCCCAAGTTCTTTTGCAGGTTATATTTTGCTGAGAACTAAGAAAAAGGACACATCCCCGACGGATGAAGAAACGGCACCTCCATCAACTCAAAGCACCGACGCTGCGGTAGCATCTGTGGATGCCCAAAAAACTCCCGCTCTGGCTGTAGTTACAGAGCCAGTGAAGGCAAGAGAGCCAATACCAGTGAAAGAACAACGAGATCTCTTCAAATGGATGCTGGAGGAGAAAAGGAAGGCGAATCCAAAAGGCGCTGAAGAGAAGAAGAAGATCGACGAAGAGAAAGAGATGCTGAAACAACTCATCAGAGCCAAAACCATTCCCAACCTCTGATGCATCACTTGATGAGTTTGGTTTTGATACATTTAACTCTCTTCTTTCTTGAATGTTGGGTTCAGTTTTTGGATCATGTGGATGTGGGTATTAGATTCTTTTGCTTTTTGGACATGTTTCATTCTCAGTTTGATGTTCGCTTTTTTTCCCCCATGTTGCGGATATGAAAGACAACGAGTAACTGCTAAGTGTTTTCATGTTTAAAGAAGTACTCGTTTGCTTTCTGACTTTATTATTATGGTTTTGATGTGATCTATGAATTGCAATTTCTCTTTCAAGAATAGTATGTGTTGTATATATATTTTGTAGATCAATTTCACAGTCAATGTAAAAAAATCCCTAATCCTTAATTTCACATCTCTAAATTCTGCAACCAACAACACTTCTAGAAGTATAGGGTGTTAATTGTAATCTAAAAAACTTTTGGGCTAAATTGATAGAATATAAAAAACTCAATGGCTTTGTTTAGTATGTGGCTTGTGGAAAGGCCACGTGGCCGAGTTCTAAAGCCGGACCTAAGATGACCTATAGAAAGAGGCCACGTGTGAGATTATACGGATATTATTTGCATTCCCGTCAAACCTATATATTTATCAATATAGCATATAGTTGAGATAATTTAATATAAAAATCAAATTAAAAATCACCGTCTTCTTCGTCTTCCCATCTCCTCTGCGGTTTCACAAGCGCGAACCTGATAAGCAAATCGGGGGGAAAAAATGACGAACTACGGTGCGATTCCGACGTCATCTCACCCGGCGCTGACGTCGGCAAACCTCGAGTACATATCACGCGCCAAGCAGCGTTTGAAATCTGGCTTCGCCGCTCGCCGTCCATGGAAGCTGATGTTCGACCTCCATTCCTTCGGCCTCCCACATGGTGGATTCTTTGCCACGATCTCTAGGATGAAGACGAATCTCGCCTATTTCCGCATGAACTACGCCATAATCGTCCTCATCATCCTCTTCCTCAGCCTCCTTTATCACCCGACCTCGCTCATCGTCTTCGTCGCGTTGATGGCGATCTGGCTTTTCCTATACTTCCTCCGCGACGAGCCGCTGTCCGTGATCGGCCGTCAGGTGGACGATCGAACGGTCCTGATCTGTCTTTCGGTGTTGACGGTGGTCCTGCTCCTGTTGACCCACGCGACGATGAACATCGTCGGGGCTCTGGTGATCGGAGCGGTGGTGATAGTGGTCCACTCGGTGGTCAGGAGGACGGAGGATCTGTTCATGGACGAGGAAGAGGCGAGGGGTGAAGCTTCAGGGCTGACGTCATATCCGTCGTCATAAATTGGGGGTACTGAGGTTTATTTCTGTAAATTGTAATGGGTTATTATTATCACATAATATGTAATTGGTATGGTTTGGTCTCGACTTTTACATTTTTTTGAGTTATTTTGGATGGTGAGAAGAAGTTGGTCCATTTAGAATTTTATAATTTTTTACTTCACTTATTTATGCCCAAAAAGAATCATTACCAAAAAAAAAAAAAAAAAAGATTCCGTGAACTTGTAATCGATTTAATTAGAGATAAACAGCAAATCACGTGTACATTCAATGACCATTTCAGTATAGAAAAAACCAGTCACTCACTCTCTCTCTCTCAAATTCAAGAATCGATTAATAGCCAATATAAGGCCAAATCATTTCTGGTGGAATCTCAAGAGGAAAGTCGTGTGTTTATGCAGCAACTTCACCAGCTTACGGAAGAGTCTGCAGAGAGAGAGGTTGCATTGAACGGAAATATAAGACGACGCTGCATCTATTAGCATGTAGAAGGCAATCTTCATGGTTTTTACACACAACAGAGGAAGCATTTCCTGAAACTACCAAACATGCATAATCATACCCCCTTCAAAGACACCAAAATGCTCCATCGGCTTTCCTAAAACCCCTTCATCGACCTGCAATGCCAAGGAAGCGATCCGGGTTCTGTCAGACGATTATGAAAACACATTGTAATCTTACACTCGACACAGAAGGAAACTAAAACCATGATCTGCATTGAAATTGAAGAGAGGCTCACCTTTGTTACATGAAAACAGACTCGGATTCACAGAGAGAGTTGCGCAAAAAGCAACTCTAACTCCTTGTCTTGAGACAAAGTTCTCTGTCACAGACAAACAAAACCCGAAAACGATCATCAACAAGCCATTCAAAGGGCAAAAACTGGACAAGAACTTGCAAGTTCATAATAACTTTCGGTAAGAGGGCTTTTCTGAGGAATCTACACATCCGAACATGAGATTTACTTCAGGAACTTAGGTTTGGTAGTACCTCAGCGGACAAAAGCTCGTGTATTTTGTTGAGAACCCTGAGACGGTGAACTGCGTAGGCACTGTTCGATGGAAGCTTGTTAACCCTCTTGATCTCCTCCTGAATCACTCTCGTTCTTTCTTCACAACCCATCTGAATCCATCTCTCTCCCACACGATTGCTCCTTGTTCCTATCTCCATGGCCCTGAAAGTTCGTCGCTTTTGGAAATTACTTACAAACTGATGATGGGCGAGTAAATCATGAACAGAACCGAGAAGCCATATCAAGGCTCTTTACATAATCAATCCTCAAACGTTAAATTTTCTCCGGGGGAAAACAAAATTTAGTTATTACGGAAACGAGAGCGGAAAAAAGTATGATCCCTTTTTGTTTCGATCGAAACACAGCAAGAGAACAAAAAAAAAATCAGAACTTTACCTGCCCCCGAGCTGAATTTAGAGAGATCGTTACATGGGTTTCACTAAGCAGAAAAGGATGCGAATCAAAGGCGAGCTTTCTCGGGTAAAAGACACAGGAAAAAGGAAGTACCTGGAAAATTCGCGATGATCAAATTTGGGAAGAAGGAAGAACACACGAAATAGGGAAGAAACCAATCGAACCCTAAATTCGCTTGGATTATCAAATTATTTGACACCGCCGGTAAAAAAGAGAGGAAAAAGTAGTGATTTTTGTCCACGTCGTCGAATTAAATTAACCCGACCCGTAACCCGACCCGGAAATAACTCGGAAACCCTTAAAGCCCCTGAAGTTTCCCCCTTCTCGCATGCGAGTTTCTTCCTCTTCTTGTGGAAATGGCGTCTACGAAGGTTCTTGGCAGATTATCGTCGCGGATGCAGCCTCTAAGCAATAAGCTTAACAAGAAGAATGCTAATGCGACGGTTTCTTCATTACTCTCTCCCATCAAATCGGCGTCTCCGGCCGCAATTACCCGTCTCAATCGATCTTCCAGGTCAGATTTTCAGAGATTTTGCTGCTGATGATAAGCTGAAGAGAGCCCATCTTTTCATCAGCTTCTTTGATTTGCTTTGCTTTGCTTTGCTTTAATTCCTTTGGTTTCTCCTAATCCTTAACGAAGACTGCAGATTGGCATGTATCTAAATTCAAATTTACAAATCTAATGATTTCAGTGGCACTGACCAAAGTAAATTGATTTTGAGATGGTTTTTTTTCACAATTTACAAGTTTGATTCTTTGCCTCGATTTATCGGCTCGTAATCTGGATAACCTGCATTTCTTTTGTTAATGATTTGTTTCTCTTCTGAAGAGTTTGTGATTTGGATTGAATATATGGGTTGGATTGTTAGATTACCATTGGAGTTGAGTAGCTGCGGGACGATGTTTCCATTACACAGTGCTATTGCATCGGCAAGGCTGATATCTAGTTTATCCATTGAATCCATGAGCTGGGGATTAGTTCCCCAAGGTTAGTCTTTTTTCCATTTTCATTTTCTTGCTGCCATCCACCCATCAGTGGATGGCATGTCATGCTCATGCTGGTCACCTTTTCTTTCATGTAGAGTGTGAAATTTATTGCTAAGTCTCTTTGTATAATATATGAAGACTTAGATTCTGCTGTTAGGATTATGTTGCTTCCTTCTTTTCCAGTTTTATACATGAATTTTGTGACTATATGATGATAAAGGATCATGGTGCTGCAAGTTTGAAAACCCGGCTTGACACTTCTATGTGGTGTGTGCATATCTGAATTGATTGATTGATTGATATATCTGATTTGTAAGCTTATGACCATGGCTCTTCTTTGTGTGTGCATATCTGAATTGATCAGACTCGCCTTCTCTTATGCCAAGTGCCAACAGTTGCAACTTTTTTTTTTCCCCGAAGATGGATAATTTACCAAATATAAGAGTAGTCTCTTGAAAAGCTGGTCGTGATTGCTACTGTTGTTGCGATTGGAGTATGATCACAATGCCAGCAGTCACTGTAGTTATGCAATTAGGATGGATTGTGTTGAATATGTGGTACTTCTGACGCAAAGGGAAGCTAATAGAGCAGTATGCTTGATTACTAACATATCCAACACATGTCATGTTTCATGTAGGTAACCGAAATATAGTATGCATTCATACTGTAGTACTTAGTGCTGGATTCGTGTTTTACTTATGTTTGAGGCTACAATTGTTTTGGTTTTGTTGCTTGCATTGTCTGTTCTAGTTTTCATACATTGCAATGAACTTTTATCGATGAATTTGCAGGTATTTCAATGCCTTTATGACAACTTCCCATCTTCTTACAACAAGATTCCAGGAGGATAGACATGAACGAGGGGTCCATGTGTCGATCTTTTCATCTCTTATGGAGTCCAAAGTTTCCGAATTTGAACTCTCTGCTTAAACCTTGCAGTTCTGAGTTTCGTTTTCTCTGATAATATGATCCCCCAGTTTGCGATTTTTCATGTTTGGCATTCAACTACTTTGTTCTTATGGTTCATTCATTCACATCATAACAAATGCAGACGCAAACCCTTGTATCAGAAGAACCTATCTTTTATTGTCTTCACACTTTTGTCATTATCACTAATAGCTGTGAACAGAATGAACTATAACGAAATGACATCGTGACAAGTGCTGACATTGAAAGGAATCTGATAGTAGGGATGGATTAGCTAATCGAGGGTTGAGGAAAGAAGGGTGAAATCTTCTTCAGCTTGAGGGACGTCCGAAATCAAACCGATCAGACGGGAAATGCTGATGGAATGAGAAGGTTTGAGGCCGAGAGATCTCTTCTTCCGCGAGAAAACGTCAGTAGAACTCGAGAGGACGAGGAATGTCAGGGCTTGAACGATCGAAAACACTGCAGCGTTCGTCAGGAAATCCGACCAGGAAGAAGAAGTCATTGCTTTGGGGATCGGAATCAATCTCCTCTCTTCCCTTAGCTTAATCGAAAAACACGAGGAGAAGAAGGGTTATTATAAATTTATAGGAAGGGATTAAGATATGATACAACACAACATTGGTTATATTTTGTGGATAGAGTGTACGTTTTCAATCATCAGTTAAAGGAAGCTTCATAAATAATGATATTCACAAGGGAGAGAAATCCGCTTTTTGTGGTTACGGGAAAAGATTAGGTTTCTTGTTACTTTGCTGGCAATGTTAAGGTTACAATCCTTTGTCTGTCTTCACGTGCAAAAAGCTATGGCCTCTAAGGCTCATTTTTCGCCCCCACTTTTAACAGAAAGGACTTAACCCTGAACCGACATTCCATTAGATTCTGGATTAGAATATTTTTATTTTAATTTTATATTTACAAAGAAATAATTATTTTCTTAAACAAAGTTTTGCTCCGATCTAACCTTTTTATTTATTTTTATATTGGAATTAAAAAAATTCATTAATTTTTTTAGATTAGATTCCAATGATTGGACTTGAACATTAACGAGTCTGAATACTGAAAAGATTCCAGTAGAGTAATATACATGCTTTCCGACAACATTTTTTCGCAGATTTAGATCCTGGCCATCTTAATTTCCAAAAACATCATAAATAACGTATTATTACCATTAGCAATAAGTCACGCTGTGGCGTTTTAAATTGAATGCGATGTGTGGATGGATGATGATAAAACTGGACAGTTATTATGACAAAACTGTTTCTCAATCACACGCTTCAGTTTATTCCCAAAATCAACCGTTGGGACACACACAGTCCCATACATACACACACACAGATATATATATATATATATATATAGAGAGAGAGAGAGAGGCCATAACTGTTGATATTTGATAACAAAATTCCTTGGATAAAGGTGAAATATAAATACAATAAAGGTGCTGGTAATTGGCCTCACAACCGAACTTAGGAATCACAACAACATTTGCTTCACAGTTGAACAGAACAAAAAATAAAAAACAAAAAACAAAAAACAAAAACAAGAGAGAGAGAGAGAGAGGCAGCCCTCTTAAGGAAACCAGCAGAAACCGGGACTTGAGCTGTCCATGTAAACACTATCCAAAGTCTCTAAGAGACAGTTCGCCCATAGCATATAGATGCAAGATAGAGGTTCTTCCCCCATTTCTCCTGCACGATGACAGAAACAGTCGATTAAAGAGGGGGGAAAAAAAACCTTTTCATGATTTCTCAAGACTGGAAGAGATCATCAACTCTTCGGGTCATTTAGCTAATCTGTCGTTTAGACTGGGAGAGGTATTGTCACCTTAACATGAGTGCTGGGGAACTGGGAGGTGCGCAATGTCTCTTGAGTTTCATCAACCAGCCTACGCCTTGGAATGCTAAGGACGAGGGCAGTTTGATCCGCCGTTGCAGCTGTTGATGTGATTCGGTACCCGCTGTTCCACCGCCTGTGTATACCCTCACTCGGATACAGAAAATCAAGCTCCACAACCTACAGATATTAATTATATAAAAAAAATATATACATCGGCTGTAAGGAGAATATCTATAATGTAAGAGGCGAATAAAAAAGTAACGGGGTAGAATCAAGCATATTAGAGTATATAACTGTAAAACCATTCCATGGAAGAAATCAAGTGGATAATATCTTGCCTGTTCACTGTAGCCTGCATTGCGGGACATCACAACACCCCATCGACTTCCTGCTGTGGCCATTGAGGTCACATGGAAGCCTTCTTTCCACTTCTTGTTTATCCACTTGAAGGGGAATGAATCACTCACCTTGTAAGATTGTTGTGTAAATTGTGTACCTTCAAAAGAGACATTTGAACCGCAAAAAAGATCAGCTGCTAGCGTGCAAACTATGGAAATCACAGGAACATCCATTGCCCGAAAGCCTTCATCAAGGTTCTTAGCAAAAATCCCCAAAATTTAAAGTTTCTTTACAATTGTTGACATAAATAACAATCATAGCAGTATATTGATTCGTGGCACAAATGGAAGACGAATAAGGCAGATACCTTTTGACATGACCACTAAGGAGCTTCCATTGTTGGAACCAGCAATAGAACTTATATAGTAGTTCTTCTCCCATTGCTCCATTATCCATTCCTATCAGATTCAGCACAAGATTTTCATTTTCTGGCCATTTTCATAGACACACACAAGAATTGGAAACAGAAATGAATGGAATTACCTTGTGCAAGAAAACAGGAGACAGTTCATAAACTTGGCTCGTGAAGCCAGTTCCAGCATCCATTATGAGGGCACAAAGATTAGAACATGATGCCACACAGCTTATCAACAAACCATCCGCAATACCTTTTTCAATATGCTGTGCCAATCGTATATCGGCCACATTATAATGATACCTATCACAAAATAAAATTAACAGTGAAATTGTAAATAAACCACACAACCGACCCGAGGGTTTACAACCTAGGAAACTATTGACAGCATAATCACAGTATCAATCAAATTCTTTAAAACTTTCCAGTGAAGTGGGTAGCTGTCAGATAAATATCATTTAACTGTGACATCATGATCATATAATTCGGCAACCATGGATTTTATGATCATATAATTAGGCAACCATCGATGTTACCTCTGCTTCATCGGCTGCCTAGCATTGTAAATCGATATCCATTGTGTTGCAGGAACTCCCAGACGGACTTTTTTCCTAGGCACTTCTTCTTCTTCTCCGATGCTCAGCCTACCTCGTTTCTGTCCAACTTGAAAAATGATCTAGCAAACAAAAGAAAACTAATGACTACAAAGTCCGAAATGAATAATACCAGGAAGAAAAGGAAAAATGTACATCATGTAACAATCACCTTTTGAGCACCTTCTGTATTTACAGGTCGAATGGCCGGGTTTGGCCCCAAGAGATCTTGAAACAAAGAGATTAACTTAGCATAGTTGGGTTCCTCATCAAATTTCATGTTTACCACAACCTCAAGAAATTGCTTGAAAGGAGGAGGGCAGAAACAGCAAAGCATATCAGGGGACGTTGCCATCTTCTTTTTGCAAACCAGGAATGACTTGTTATCTCCCTGAGATTGAGAAAGCATAGAAGTTATAGACCGAAATGTGCTAAACTGCGTGCATAAAGCAAAAGTTTATAATGTATTATGTATCACAGCAATCATACCTGATATCCTTGCCATGGCAATCTGCCTCGGTGAAGGAAGATGAGTGTGTACGCCAGGGATTCAAGATCATCCCTTCTGCTAGCAGTTCTTCCCAAATGAGCATGTGCACTTGCATATCGAACTGTCCCCCTACAGAAACCAGAGCAAGAAAATTCAAGAGAAGCAAAATAGAAAACAAAATCCTGAAATAGCAAATTGCAAACAATCTCACCTGAACATATCCGGACGTTGATCATATTCAACATGTTGTCCAGTGCCGCTCTCTCTCCACTTTGTCGCTGGAACATTGGATCAGACAATGAGAAAGGGAGAGAAATAGCTAATGAGATTTACCAAGAGAGAATGAACGCAACTGACCTAATCCTAGATCAACAAGGAATAGCTTCTTCTCTTGAGGTGTAGAAGGCTGGCCCAGTAAAAAGTTCTCTGGTTTAACATCTCCGTGCACATAACTGAAACGAGAAGCAACTCATGACTTGATGTTCTAGTCAAATGAAGAGCAAAGATAAGAACCAAAGGGGCAGGGATTAAAGAAAGGAGATAATGCAGAACTTTGGACAACCAAGTGAAATGCAAAATAAAAACTCGAGCGAATACCCTTTACTGTGCATCTTCTCGAGGATAGATAGTGCCTCAACTCCAATGCAAGCTACCATTTCCGAGGACATTCTGCTCATATAAGGGAAAAATAAAACATTAGGATAATCACATTTCTACAGACCATGGATTTTGACCATCATGCTACTACATGTGAAAACTTGTTTATAAAGATGAAACTACTACTTCAACGGTTCGAGCCATAAAAGTAAAAAAGAACCCATTTAAAATTCGTATATCCAACGTGGAATGGAAAAACAGAATTCACAGGATAATGAACCAAGATCTTTGCCATATTAAGGAATGAAAACTCACGCTTGTCCTGAAGAATTCCACATATCCCATAAGCTTGGACCAAGCATGTCCATAACCTGGACGAAGAATTATCAACAGCCAACATATCAGTGATACTGAAGTGAGAAAAGAATAAACATGAAGTGCAGACTTTTACCATAACATAATAGTCGCCTTGTCTCCCTTTGTAGTGTACTCTAGGGACTCCATGGATACCGCCCAGAGTGCTGATCACCACAAAACAAAACAAGGATTTTTCTTAAGGAAACAACTAAACCTAACGCGAAGAGAGAGAAAGAGAGAGAGAACCAAAGGGGAAACCTACTTGTACACCTGCCATTCCTGGGGTGGACCATAGTTGCAACCCTTGCTGCTTCGATGCTCAAACTTTAGTGCTACCTGACAAAAGAAAGAAGAAATAACGGAGATGAGTAACGGAATTAAGCTTAGAATACGGATACTTATGATAAACAACCACTAAGATGCCAAGATGAAAAGGAGATATTTTTACCTCCATGATGCTTGCTCCTGCGCTACGTTCATTCCCACCACCAATACGACGGCCAACAAACACTTGTCCAAACCCACCCTTCCCCAACTTCCTGTCAACCTTATATAAAGGTGATCCTCCAACTTGAACCTGATAATCATAGAGAGATGAACATTAGTCTATATCAGAATAACTTTTGGCCAAAATATATATTCCAAGGCATTTCCAGAAATCCAAATGTTTCACCGGAAAGAAACCCACTGTAACATATGCCTAAGGCAACAATACAAAACACTTCACAAACTAGCAACCAAGGTTCCAAGAAAGCACTGGACACAAACACAATGCATAGTCAACCTAGATCGGAACCGACTTCCATGTCTAAACCATGATTAATACCAAACAAGTACAAATGAAGCTCCGACAGTCTCATCCAATTCCGACGAACATTCAAGATAATTACAAGAAAAAAATCAATACCCTCTCTGGGAACGGGGTCGTATTCCCTTCCTCTTCCTGCGCGGCAGCCTTGTTCGACCCACCACTATTGTTCCCGATTGCCATGTCTTTCTTATCTTCTTCGCCCACAACCTTTTTACCCTTCTTCCTATCGATGTCACTCTCCTCCGAAACTATGATCACTGGGTTCTCCTGAGCGATGCCCTCGTCTTCCTGATTCAACCTCCTCGCCGCCAATCTCGTCCTCGGCCTCTCCGCCGCCTCAGTGACTCCTCCGCCGACAGCACCACGGCCTCTGCCGTAGCTCCGCCGCTGTTTCCTCTCCTCCGATGGCTGTTCCAGATGATTGAGAGCTACAGAAGCACCACCACGACCACGGCGGACTCCACGGCGACGCTCCGGCATAGCTCAAACCCCATGCAATCGATACGGGGCGCGGAGAATCCGATCATTATAGTCCTCCAAAAACGATCATCAGGCTCATGACGGATCTGAAAACTAGGGTTAGGAATCCAAGGAAGAGATCTGATTTCTTTGTTTCCCCGATGAGAAATCAATCCGGGGTGGACTAGGGTTCGGTACCGGAGGAATAAGTACCCAAGAAAAATCGAAGAAAAGCAAATTGGATAGAGAGAGAGAAAAAAAAAGGAAATGGTATATGCCACGTCAGCGATATGGCATGAAAATATCAGCCAAGTTTCATGTACGTAACGGTCGTTAAATTAATTACTTGAGACGGCGTCGTTTTTATTAGTTATTTGGGAAAATTGTGTTTGGAGTCTACTAAATAAAAAAATAAAAGAATTAAACTTTCATGCACGTTGCGTTGTTATCCTCTTTTTTTTATTATTCGTTTATCCAAAAAAAATTGAATCGTTACCGGCTATATTGGATCGAGATCCAAACTAATACCGGATCATTTATCCAATCTTTTTATCGGGTTCATGCGAAAATCAACATGTGTTTTATAAGCTTAATTTGTGAAATTTATTTCATAATCTATGGCTTTTATTACTCCTATAGGGTTTGCTATATGCATGCTAAGGCTAACAATTATTAATCTAATACTAGTGGTTCACACATTTTTTTACATAATTTTTTTTATGTGATTTGAAACATATATACAAAGGTTGATTTTGGGTGCATAAAGATATATAGAGTATTTTTTTTTTAAACTTTCACCATGGTATTCAATCCATAGTTCACTACAAAAATACAAATGCATATACGACGGAAATATCCGTCGCACAACGAACAAATATTTGTCGCAACAACTTCTTTGCGACGGATCACGACGGGGACAAATCCGTCGGTACGGAGCTGTCGCAAATTTGTTTCGGTCGGTTAATCGTCGCACAATTACGATGGAAATTTCCGTCGTTATCCGTCGTTATTTTACCGACGGATAGAAGTTCGTCGTAGACCGTCGCGTTTCTGTTTGTCGCACATTGCGACGGACTTATCCGTAGCAAACTTTACCGACGTCATATATCTGTCGTGTATGCGTCGTTATATTGATTTCCGAACGTAACGACGGATTACGGTCCATATATATATTAATTCATATTATCATGTGAACCATTTTTTTTATAACCGAATATTCTGGGTCGAAATCCAGACTAATCTCGGGGTCGGAAACCAACTATGTGATTTGAATTATACGCTATCTCCCCAACTTAAAACTCGAACTCGGGACGGAACAGATCCTTGAACCAAAATATTTTACCACAACAATCACAAAAAGTTACTGTTTGCATTGAATTGAGATGGATGGAAACGATTTGTTACAAACGCATCTAATTCAACATCGATCCAATTAAGTGAGATTAGGATAAAATTGCTCCTCAATGGACACAATATAATTAAAAAGATGAAAGAGATTAATAAAATAATTAATATTTTGACTTAAACCACCAAAGGTTAAATTCTCGAATTTTAGGAGCCAAAGAGAGAGCCCCACGTGAAGCCCTACCTAATTCGGTCAATCCCTTATTCTCCAAGCCATCCATCACCATCACCATCACCATCACCACCTCTTACTTCATTCATTCAATTAATTACTTTTTCGGGTAAAATTATTCAATTAATTACTTGTAAAACTTTTCCAAAGAGAACCCTCTAGAGACTCAACCCCTTTGATTTAATCCACTTCTTAACCCATACTCCCTCTAATTCATCCCTCTCTCTCTCTCTCTCTCTCTCTCTCTCTCTCTCTCTCTCTCTCTCTCTTATGGGAACACTTGTGGGTCATGTTGCTCCAGGGTTTGCCTTCTTGGCACTTGGCCTGTGGCATTTATTCAACCACATCAAACTCTTTTGCCTTCAACCCAAAAGCTACACTTCATCGCCATGGTTCCCAACGTCGAAACTCAGACACTTAGAACTCTACTTAATCATGCTCGGCTCTTCCATCTCCATAGCCATGGAGCTCGTCATAGGACCCAGAAAGCACCAGCCTTTCGACTCCGACGGTTCCATTCCTGCGAACCATCTCCACAATTTCGAACACTCTTCTATCTCCGTGACGTTCTTTGTCTACGCCGCCTTCGCGCTTGTTTTCGACAAGACCGGGACTAGGGCTAGTTACGGACTCACCAACTTCGTTGGAGCCGTTGCTTTTGCTCAGCAACTCTTCCTTTTCCATCTCCATTCCAGTGATCATATGGGCATTGAGGGGCATTACCATTTGCTCCTCCAATTCGTCATCTTCGTCTCTCTTGTCACAACTCTCCTGGGTATTTTCCGACAATCCTAAAGCTTCTTACTTTGTAGATTTGTTCGTCGTTTATTACAAGACAGACGGAATCTCGTGTCGGTCACATGTCGACTTTTGTACGTATTGTAGTTTACTTGGAGCTAAATTTTCGAACTTTTTTGTCAGTTTCCGAAATCTCATACTAATCACGTAACTTGAGTTAAATTACGTGGTACCCGGGATTGAATTTTCTAACGTGGGACCAACTAATAATCAAAATTAAATTAGATTCTTAATTGTTTTTATATACAATTTTTTTTTTTAAAAAAATTTATAGAGGTCATCACAACTAATTCCTAGGGCATATACTACATACTTCTTTTTTGTTAATTATCGGTAGGAATGGCGATGCCAGAGAGTTTCTTGGCGAGTTTTGTGAGATCATCGAGCATAGCCTTTCAAGGAGTATGGCTCATAGCGATGGGTTACATGCTTTGGACGCCAAGTTTGATCCCAAAGGGATGTTTCCTTCACCTCGAAGACGGCCACCGCGTGGTCCGATGCTCGAGCCACGACGCCTTGGACCGAGCCAAGTCGCTGGTCAACATCGAGTTTAGTTGGTTCCTTGTCGGAATCACACTCTTTGTCGTGTCCCTTTACTTGTTTCTTGATCGGGTTTATGGTGAAAACGTTCAGTACTCAACTTTGACCGCCAGAGATCAGACGGAACAAGGCATCGAGCCGCCGAATATAAGCAAGCCCAGATGGGTAAATTGGTTGGAGATCGTGACGTTGAAAGGTGAGAAGAATTTGGAGAAGATAAATGGCGTTCATACGGATCATATACGATGACGTGGTTGATTCATTAGGTGTTATAGTCCACACAAATTTGTACAAAATAGTAATCAATTATAGAAAAAAGAAAGAAAGTGGGTGATTGTACAAATTAAAGCCTGATTGGGCTACGTATATATATATATATAGACGTAAAAGAGCGAGTAATATAAATTATTTTTCTTTTTTATGATACAAAAGCCATCGGTTAAACTAATGAAAAAAAGACGTTTAAAATAAATAAAATATAATAGGGAATTACAAAAAAAAATTAAAAAAAGTTGCAGCGGTTATAGGTTTTTGCATCAAACAAATATGCCGATGTTTTACAATATAAATTCGTGATATATATTTACCTCTAGCCACACCAGTTTATATAAACCGATATTAATTAACTGCGGGAATAAGTGATCTGAGTGTAAATATTTTTTATGATGTAAATAAGTGTTAGAGAAAACATAAATTAATTTTTATAATAATATGATAAGTGAATTACTAAGAACAATGAAAATAGTAAAGAATAATGAAAGCAAAAGTGACATAGACGATCTTGGCTTAGGACAGTGGAAGCCAAGCATAACCATGTGGTTTGATAAGCAGGAGACATATGAACAGCGCAGACGATCTTGGTCTCTGTGTCAGGTAATGGTGGAGGAAGAGAGAACGTTAGTGGTGAAGAGCAATGGGAAGAGGAGAGTGAAGAAGGTAGCAACTACATTAGGTTAGAGAGGAGATTCCGTTTGCCCGAAAGCTCCAACGTCGAGGCAGAGGCCGCCAAATACAAAGACGGGGTTTTGACGGTTACGGTGGAGAAGAAGCCGCCGCCGCCGCCCAAAACCCATACCGTCCAAGTCGAGGTTTCTTGAGATGTAATGTTACTGATCTCTCAGTTTCTCTGCGTTTGGTAAGATGTTCTGTAATGGATGTGTTTAGAATGACATCTGGTTGTCGATGAACTCCGCTTGTACTTTCCATAGCTCTCTTCTTATAAAGTTCATAACGTATTGCACTCAAAAGTTCTGCAGAATACAATTGAAGTGTGTGTGTATATATATTTACAGAGAGATGTTTTCATGAGCTTCAAGAGGGCAAATCCCAAAGATCCATGAACCCCGTTTCCACTGTCATATTGTAAGCTACTTACAAGTTTCTGCAATTCTCTCCTTGTTTCCGAGAAATCAATTAACGCTTGTTAGTGATTTTCATTTTTTTTCTTTTTCTTTTCCGATTTCCTGTTCTCCTTTTCAATCCTCTCTTCCGCTATCTATCAACCGCTGGACTCGATCTTTTTTCTGTGTAGGAGGAAGAACAGCTCACCCTTGGGGTGGTTCTTCTCAATTTAGGATCTGAAACCTATCTGTTAAAATCTTTTCAGACATAATCTTCCATCATCATCACCAGAAATGGCCATCTCCATGCAATACCCACCTCACGAAACGTTCGGGAAGTCCTCCTACATCTTCCCGGGTGTGTTTGCTTTCGTTTATTTCCCCTCCCTGCAATGCAGCACCAGAAAGTAACAGAGTATGACTGATTCATCCAAAGGTTCCGCCTTTCGATGAGGAAACACTAGTAAGTTTGATCACAGATTAGAGGATTTGATGGATTCATTGTGGAACATGGAAAGGAGTCAGTCACCTTTAAGCTGGAACCAGATTCACTCGCGGAAGTTGCTGATTCGATTTTTATATCTTCTGGCACGTTTTCTGATGACCGAAGGGCCGTGGATCTGCAGATAAAACAAGTATAGAACGAGGAGTTTAGTTTTATCATTTATGGAAGCTACATCGGAGAAATTGCTTGAGAGATTTGGTTGGCCAAGAAAGAAACTTTACCTGCCATAACTCTCGTCTTCGCACGAGTTTCCCGAAGAGGAAACCCAATCCATATCAAACTCTGCGCATGCACATTGCTCAGCATGCCCATCAAAGCATAAACAATCGTTTTCGAGAATATGATATGGCTCCATATCCTTCACCAGCTGCCTGCAACACCTCGATGACATGACAGTGACGCTTTAAGTCAGTGGACTCCATGAAAAGATTTCGCCATCGACAGTGAATCATCATGAGCTTACCTTGGATCACATATGATGGCATCATCAGCTGACATAGTGGTTTCACATGTCGAGATCTCGGGATTGGACTCTGAAAAAACCTTCACTTCTTGATCCTTCTCGGGCAAGGAAAGGCCATGTCCAACCACTGTCCCCAATGCAGTTGAGTTGCTCTCACAGAGGATATTACTTTCTGACATGGATCGTTTTATCGAAGATCTGAGGCAATCAAAGTTTCACCCATCAGACAATATTCAGGAAAAAAGAAAACCAAAGATTTTTCATTCCCGTGTCTCGATGACCAGAGAGTGTTATAGAGCACTCATATCCGGATCTTATTAACCAAAAATTGTACCTCGCAATCTCTGCAATGGCATTGGCACCAAATCTTGCAGCATTGTAATGCTGGTCTGAACCCAGTTCCCATAAGGCTGGTTTGCCCGGTTGTGGCTGAAAATATCCCAAGAACCTGCACAAGGGATTCAAGCCAAAGAATCGCCTGAGATCAGTACAAATCTTTGTGTCTGAACCCGATGTTTGGTATGAACGGTGTAAAGAAGAAAACTTATGTCAGCGTACACGTTAATGGCATCTTGCTTTTCGGCGTCCATATAGGCATTACTGTAGTAACGTTGTAAAGTTCTGAAGAACTCCTGGGACTGTGTTGCCGCTTTCCATTGTCCTCTCCTTTCACAAAATATCTGTCCACAACCCATCGAGTTTAATATTCATGCCGCCTTACATAACAATCTCGAGAATAACAATTGATTAAAAAAAACAAAAGATTAAGATCGAATATGTGTGAAACAGTTGAAACCTCTACAGTAATACCTTGTTGTGTGCTGCAGATCCTCCGTACTGAAGTGCGAGTGTATCACCCATTGTCTCATAAATTCCCATCAAATCTTCAGCGAGGGGATTGTCAAGATCGATATTAGTAGATTCTGTAAACCCTAAAGCATGAAGCTGATGCCCGAGTGCTGCCAACCCATAAGCATATTGAGCAACATTGGTACGATCTAAACAGTCTATGCAATTTGTTCTCAGTACTCCTTTCTGAATCATAGTGGCTTTCTTTCTGTGATCATCTTTGCCGTCACTATCATTTTTAGTGCTCTCTGTTGTCAAGTTTAAAGCAGTTTCATCTTTAGATGTAGTACATTCACCGTCGCTTTTCCTACAATCAAGTTATAGAGAGGAGAAAGCATTAGATTTTGCGTTTAGAAGTAGCATTTCACTTTAAGGCAACTGAACATTACATTCAGACAAGGATCTATACTAAAATCAACCAGAAAAACTTTGGTTCCAATACCTAGTGGATACAAAAGAGACTAACGATATAATCAAAGCAAGAAAACCATTTATGGTTCATAGGACGGATACTTACTCCAAGCAGGACGGATTCTGCAACCCTTCTGCTCTTAGATCAGAAGATAGCTGGCAGTAGAAGATGCCGGTCAAGTTCAGCGCGTAACTAGTAAGTTTCCCAAGAATTGCCAATACGTTTGTAGCTTTGCTGAAAAAAAAGAGCATGCCCACTTTCAGTAAGAGACATTATCTTCAAACGATTAATAAAGGAAACAAAGAAGCATATGATCATTTACTTTCTGGAATGTTTATGCAAATCCCAGTGAAGAGGCCTTAGACGTTCTTCCTTGTTCAACCCTTTGTTTATAAATCTAATGGCATTTGCAAACTCTGAACGCAGAATAGTCTCCCGTGGCCTTTTCTCACGTGTCTGTTATCAGTCAAACACATATCAAGAGTTACCAGAAAGATTCTACCAAAATCTGTCTCAAAACTATACATGAAGATTACATCATTGATGAGTTGAAAAAAACTGACCTTTATCAAGTTCAAAATAATAATCGGGTTTCCATATCTTTTTGCTAGATTTTCGAAATGAAGTCTAGTTGCCTCAAAGTTGGAGTCTTTCCTGGACACTGTAGACAGATAAGACAGATTATCCTACAAGCTTAAACGCAAATGATAAGAACATTATCCGTCAGAGAACACATATCATACATATTATATCGGGTTTGAGATTCAAGCGTGATGTCTCCTGAGACCAAAACAAAGGAATTGAACCCCGATTCTGAACTACAGAACTTATTCGGACAGGAGAACCACATGGAACATCTTCAAAGACAATCTGTTCTGTCTCAACATCATTAGCTACCCTGCCTTTCTCATTCACACCACGCTTCAGATATCTGAGGCAAAAGACAGAAGGTTATGAATCCAGCAACAAACTCAAAAGTTAATTACATATGAACAGAAATGACAGATGGAGTTTATCTTCAGCATGCACACAACATAAAAGTGGAAGCATGTCTGAAAAAACCAGAAACTTCCATTATATATAAGCAGATCATGTGGGCTACAAACGAAAAAGAGAGAGATACTTGGGGCAAGACTAGAGACTGTACCTCGTGCCAGCAAAATGCCGTGATCGACGGGCAATGAGTGTCAACTTAAAGCTCTTCTCTGATATCGAGAGTTTAACCTACATTCCAAATTCAAGCGAGCAAAGTTCTAAAAATTGTGTACAAATAGCAAACACTTGAGAAAGCATTCATACAGAGGGAGTGGCAGTGTTAGCTTAAATATGAAAGAGCTTCTCTCCTTGCATGCTGCATTTTTCGAAATCCAGAAATTCAAGAAACAACGAGACATCATCTACAGGGTGACGTTAACGTGTCTCGGTAATTTTAATGTTAGAACAATCATGTAAATCTAATCAAACAAGCAACTATAGACTAAAAAGAAATTAAAGAATCAAAAACAGATCAGCAAAGTTAGTTCGAGCTTAACATTTTTCTTAATATGAAAATGTAAAAAAAAATACCTGCTTGCAGAATCCGTATACCAAGGCAACAGTCCACAAACAATCCTTCAGCTTACTCCGAACCCCCCGGGTTAAGTACTCATTCCAAACAAACATGGATTCGTAATAAGTCTGTCCTTTCACGTTATTGCAAAGATTCCTCTGAAGGCTATGCATGATGCAATAAGAATAGCTGAAAAAGAAGTCCTTCGTGAGATCAACAGCGCACAGTAGCTTCTTGTACCTATAAAACGTCGAGGGAGACACACAACAAACAAATGGAAAAATGCTTTAGAACCTGCATAACTCGATAAAAGAAAAGAAAAATCAACGATTAAATGAATTAACCAAAATAAACGTTAAACAGAAAACAGAAGGAAATTGAAATGATTTTCCCCCTTCTGGATAATAATACCTCAGCACCATACAAAATGTTAAAAGCAAATACAACAGAACTGTCGGTATCTCCCTGTGCAGATGCGAGAGAAGAATATCTAGAAATAGTAGATTCAAATATGCAACAACAAAGCCTGGCTAAAAATATAAGAAAAGGGAAGGATTCTAATAGCTGGATCATCTCCAAAAGGCAAACAGCAAAATCAGAAGAACCTGAAATGAATTGGATCACAGGAGCTCATATAACTAGTTTAGTAGTTTACGAACAGAAATATTTACACTGACGAAAATGGCTCAATGGTTACCTCAGCAATACCAAACCCGTCTACTAGAGAAACTCCGAATACTGTTATTATGCAAACTGGGGGGGGACTATAGAACAGGACACCATAATGATCTTAGAATCTAAATACAAGTGAAGGATTATAATTTGAAGCGAATGTGTCGATAGGGATACCAAAGTACACGTTCCATTTACAAGCAGAAAGTGACATAAAGACCTTTTCTCGTCCTTAGAATAAGCCACATTGGATAGCACAGAGGCATGTGGAATTGTGATAATCTCGCTCTTGGCTATGGCATACACAGAATGGCCGCAAATTGCAGCAAGCATCCTTCTTTTTGTTATTATCAGCATGTAATACGGTCCCAAGAACCTTACGAATCCTAAATGAAGAATTTTCAAGAAACAAACGTCAGTTTCAAAACCAAAGGAAGGTGCAATTCAAGAACTATGGATAAGATAACACGATAGTCGGGCTGGCAATGGGCATACCAACTATCCCGTAGCAGGTGGTGACAAATTTCAGCCCCCCGGTTGATCTGTTCCCTTCGTGTATCCTTCTCAAAAGCTCGAAGCATTCCGCTTCTGTATAGGCGGTAGAATCTTCATGAATGTTTAGCTCTGTTGGCTCTGTCCTGTCCAGCTTAAGAACCCTCCAAAAGGTTCGGTTTTTATCTCTTCCAATCATGTAGAAGTTCTGATCACAGAAGCCCAACACAAGTACATGATAGCATGTTGTTCAGACAAGAGCAGATCAGATCGGGAGCCACATCAAGATGTGAGTGCATAATTGACAAATTCAGACAAGAAAAAAGTTCAAATCTTGAAATCCCAAGAGATCAAGAGATCTCGCAATCAACCGACATGAATTTTCAGCTCAGAAGATAAACCCAGATGCAGCAGAATGAAAACGAATCATTCACTCAAAGCTAAGAGCAAGAAAATTGGAAACACATCACGAAATTTGGATCTCTAGTCAATTACACGCAAGGAATCAATACACAGAGCTGTGTCGTGGAACAGGAAAAAAAACCCAAAAAGATTCAAATTTCAAAACGACATCTAAGAGACAAGCAAATCAGCAGAGCCGATGAACTGTCAGAGAGTGACATAAGAGAGAATCACCGAGCGAGTTTCATAGAGCCTGAATTTCTGCAGATACGAAGAACTCGTGTCGTCTCCTTGTTCGATCCATTTCTCCGACGCCGCCATCGATAAACTGTTCCGACCCTGAGTTCTCGAAACTCGGGCCTTCGATTCAGAAACGAAACGAAACCAAATCGCAGAAGAAGAATAACACGAACTCGAACTAGATCAAAGAAGGAATCCCCAAAATCTTACAGCTCACAAGAAACCGGAATCTTCACAAGCACAAAACTATACATACATAGAAAAAAAATGGGTACAATTACAACTGTAACCAGATACACAGAGAGATCAAAATCCAGACAAAACAAAAAAGGACCCAATTCACCCTTTCCGCAAACAGTCTCCGAATCGAAGACTTTACGGGAAAATCAGAAAAATTTCTCAGATTGATTCAGAATGGCAGAGAAAATGAAGAATAAGAAGATGGAGAGGATGATGACAGAGCTGCGGAGACTAGAACCACAAAATTTGCGAGGAAAGAAAAAAAATGATGTTTTTTTGTGTGTGGTGTTTTGTTTTTTAACTTTAGGCGGCCGTACGAAATAGAGCCGTAAATTCATCAATTATTATATTCTTACTTGTTTTTGTTTTTTAATTTGGGGGAAAAGGTTCCTTTGTGATATTTGATTTCGAAAAGGCGTGTTTGACTCGGGCGAGTTGGTAACTCGAAAGGGTAACTGATAACGTGTTATATTTGTATGGTTCCAATATATAGTATTTTCCTTAATTTACATAATTATTCAATCTCCTCTTATTTTTTTATATAATATTATTGATTTGGAATGGAAATGGGTTTTCTCAATTTCCTCGTATCAAATCACTACAAAACTAGTTTGTCTTTCTTTTTTGTCTATCGAAATTTAAGTTATTATGGGTGATTGAATAAAATGTATTGAACATTTATAAAATTTATTGACTTTTATAAGTAAAACTATTTAAAATCACAATTAATATGTATCTGAATAAACATTCATATTTAAAAATATATCTAACAAAATCTTTAATTTTTAATATATATCTACTTAAAACATTAACCATACACAAATTCAAATCAAACATAAATTTTTTTTTAACACATATACCACATTATAATATGTTATATAAATTGTTCATATCTACATGCAGTTAGGATTTTAAATCAATGAAGCTGTAAATGTATTTGTTTTTAAATATGTTTATAATATGATTATTTAATAAAACTTTAACTATCCATAAATAACATTTTATCTTTATAAAAACGCTCAAATATATATGTCTAAGAATCTATGATGTTATTTCACGATTTCAATCCTATTTTTAAAAATTATATTTATAATCATAAATTATTATTATCAATTTATTTTAAATTGAGATAAAAACGAATTGATATAATTTTTTTTTATAAAATTATATATTTTATTTAGGGTTTTCTAATAGATGTCAATTTAATTCGGATTTAACGATTATGTATTTGTATTATCCTAATTTTTTAGAATTAAAATGGGACTTAACTACAATTTTATGTTTACATGAAATATGATATTTTGAATTATATCATTATTGATAGATTAATAATTTACTTAGATGTATGCTGCTAATATTTAATAAGTTAATAGTAAAAAAAAACTAAATAGTCAAATGACGAACGTGATCAGCATATACTATAATGACGTTTTTTTACTAATTAAAAATGTGAAAAATCATTTTTAATTGGTATATATTTATATTTCCATCTTGCTATATAATTCTGTTGGAAAAGGTATTCCCAATTTCTTCCATATTTTATTTGTCAATCGCCCTTTTAATATTTAACTAAATTTTGCTTTATATTCTCATATAGTCCAGTTTATAATTTATAAATAATTCATATTATGAATCTTCTTATATTCGATCATTTATAATAGTGTTCACAACCGGGAACAACAAATGCCACGGACAGGAAATCTTTCATTACTACCATATAAGAGTAGTGTGTAAATATATTAATTAAATATTTTTACATAGAAAAAACAAAAGGAAATTTATACAATGATCCAAATGTCTTGACCAGATTATCTTTGCATAAAGTATGTAGCTTTTATCATATCAACAAACGTATTTTTTAAAAAATTATATCGAAAATATAGGTTATGATCCAAAACTTTATTAAGATTATAATATAAATATCTAAAGATAATACATGCCGTTTTTGAAAATAATCTGCCGGTAACATCGGTTGTAGACCCGAACGGAGTATAGTTTGTGGTTCTCGTGAAGAATTCCATGCATCCAATACAATATTTTATTTTTCATTTGGATGGGCCGTCAAGGACGTAATCTATGATCATAAATATCTTATAATTTTCGGACTTATTATAAAAATAAACACAAGTTGCACATATTCACTGTTGAACCATGTGATGCTTTTTATCGTACACTCAATGGCTAGCTTATATAAGAATGATTTTGTATTTTATTTTAAAGAAACCGTAGTTCCATTTTCATATATTTGAAAGACGAATCAATAATCTCAACCACTAGATCACGATACATAACACCTTGTTTCACAGTAATAATTCAATATTAGGATTTTGATTTCATCGATCCGAATATATATGATAAAACCCAAGAATTTGGATTTACGCTCATAATATTTATGTTTCCATGGACGATTATATTTTGAGACATACCTCGTCATCTGGTTTGTATACAATCAAATATACACGTATACACGATGTATATCCACATATATTATACATAAAATTGAAATTTAGTAGTTACATATAATTTTAGAAAAGTATAAATGAATTCGTTTTAACATTTATGATGAAATGGTCTCGCGTAACTTGTCCAAAAAGAAAAACAGAATAAATGTATAAATGTATGCTGGTATATATATATATATATATACGAATCTACGTGGCTAAGGAAGAACACTGACAAAAGCTCCCTGACCGTTGGATGGCAGATCCAACAGCTATAAGAGAGAGAGGGGATCTAAGGGAGTGACGTGTACAACATGGCGAAGTCCCTCGAAGCGAGGAACTGGAGACAGCTGGCAGTGATGACGTGGCTACACGCGAACTATTCGTCATGTCTTAACGAGCATCACGTGGATTTGTTGGACCACCGTGGCGGCTCTTTTTGTAATTTCTCTCCTTTTTCAAAACAATGAAAAAAAAGGTGAAAATATATGAAGGCTGATTAAAAAAGAAATTGTACTTTTATTTTTTCCGTCCAATTGTAATTTTGTTGTTTTGAAATAAAGTTTTGTCGTAGTAAGCTTAATTACCAGCCCAAATCTAAAAGAAAAGAATAAAATATTTTTAATTAGGAGAAATTGTATAATATATTTCCAATCCATATAATTAGAAAAATTAGGTTATGTTATTAAGAGAAATATTTTAGTATAATTTGATATGAGATTGTATCGTTGTTCAAACATATTTGGTTTAGATATTATATTTAGAGTTTCATTTTAAATTATTTATTTTTAGATGACTGTAATTTTAATTTATAAAATTCATCAATTTTAGAAATTAAAATTTTTACACTTTGATTAAAAAATATAAAAAAACGTACAAACTAGTGTGATTATATAGAGAAATAAAACTAATGAATGTAGAGAGCTTAAGAATTATATTTAAAAAATTCAATATTTTTTTTGGTCTACAACACATATAATATACAATAAACAATGATAAATCTACATTAATACTATAACAATAAACATAAAATTGTGAGCTATGTAATAACCAAATACCCAAAGTAGTCAATTTATAATTAGTTTACACTTGTTAAAATATGTAATATTAAAACATTTGGTGAGAACCACTGTAAGTGTAAATATATATATATATATATATAGAGTTTTGGGTAACAAGAAGAGATTTTTGAAGAAAAGATGGAAAGCCGAAAATGTGGAAAATCAGAGAGAAGTAGGTTTGCCCAATGATTGAGCAAACAGTTGTCCTTTTTTTGGGCAACGAGTGGTTCATCTGCCATTTTCCTTCTTGTCTTTTCTTTAATGACTTTCCTCAAATACACTAATTATTATAAATACTGTAATTAATATTGTGATGTATATATATATATATATATATATATTTATGGGTATGTATATGCCAAATAATTGAGAATGTGAATGGAGCACAGAAAATTTCAACGTTGACCTTTTTCACTATGACCTGGATGATTACATTTTAATTTACTCTTCCTAATTAATTTATTTACTTAAATGATTTTTAATCATTGTATGTGTGGATCCAGTTGCCTTTAAAATATAATAAACAGAAAATCATTTGTTTTTGCTTTGTTGGATTCTCCACGTCATTGTTCCTCATTGGCTTCACTAACCACCACACGTCTATGCAGAGCTTTCGCCTTCGTGGTTCATGAAATTTAAATAAATTCCGAATTTATCCTCAAATAAAAAAATTTGACCAATTGTAAAAGACTAGAGGTGTGTTAAATGATTTTTTTTTTTTTTTGCAAAAACATTCTTTTAGAGGGAGCAATTTTTTTTTTGGGGGGGGG